TTCGAGTATATTCAAATGTAACAGGTAGAGCATAATTCTTTCTGTCAGTATTCAGCCATTCTCTCTCTTTTCAGTGAACTTGTCGAATTGGTCCCTGCCATATCCACAGAAGATGTGAACAAGGTTCGTTATGATGGCGGAGAGATATCAAATGAGAAAGTGAAACAAGTTCGAAGGTTAGTTTAGTTGTAATTTTGATTTTTTCTGAAATTATTTTTTTTTTTTTTGATTCATTTTCTCTTGCCATCTATTTTTATATGTTCTAAAATGTCTTAACGATTCTCTGCATTCCAAGTCAAAGTTGAGTAATTGGCAGCTTGCCATAGCATATGGCATGTGGCATTACGAAATGCTTCAATGTCCGCGCCGCGTGCTGCAGCATTAACTGCATACTAAGCAGCTACATGTTGAGAGAAAATGCAATCTATCTGAAAGAAATTGTCACACTCCACCATTCACATTCTCTTAATTGGCTTCATATTCCTTTTTGCCCGTTCGCATGTCAATTAGTACCATTTATAATTTTACTTCTTTGTCACATGATATAATTCAATATATATATATATATATATATGTATATATATATATATATTGTGGGTAAATTCTCTCATCTATTGTCTACTGTAGCTTTTAAGATTAGAACAATTACTATTAATCCATTCTTCTTTTGTCTTCCAATTGAGTTAAGTGAAAGTTGTCTGCCAACACTCATGGACATCTTTCATTGCTCTCCAAACATTAACTGTCGGGAGGATTTTTTCATAGCTTATGATGTTGTATATGAGAATTGGCGTTGTTAAGGTTGAGAACAGCTGTTCTTCACGACGGGAGATGGTGTTCGATTGCCAAAACAATTGACCTGTCGTGTCTTTGTTTGCAGTCAAGTGCCAGATGGTCATGAAGATTAAAAAAAGGCTCTTCATTTACCGATAGCTCAAGAGCTCATAAAATATTTGATAGTATAATTAAGTAAAATTACGTTTTTCCTGAAAAGTGAGAAGCAGTCTTAAAACATATTTTTCGTTTAAACTACGTTCATCAATGAACAAAGCTTTGTTATCATAGCGTCAAGGTCGTCCTTTGCCCCCCAACAACAAAAGCTTCTGTAAAATTCGTCTGCATCGATTCTTCCTTTCCAGAACTTTCTTCCGTACTGTCTGAACTTATCTCTCCTTTTCTCACATTGTTCGCGATTTCTGTTTTTATTCGGATTTTCAATTTTTGTACTCGTTGCCCATTCTTTGTCTTGTTCATTCTTTCTTCTTCTTCTTTTTTTTTCAAATTAGTGGATTATTCTTGCCGGAACCACTTTAAATAGGGAATTTCCATTATCGTTTTGCTTCTTTCAATATTTTATTTTATCCGCTTTTTTATTCTTGGTTTCTGGCAATCGATAGTATAGAAATACTATGGAAACGAAAATTGGCCC